AGACAGACAGACAGACAGACAGACAGACAGACAGACAGACAGACAGACAGACAGACAGACAGACAGACAGACAGATAGATAGATAGATAGATAGATAGATAGATAGATAGATAGATAGATAGATAGATAGATAGATAGATAGATAGATAGAGATATGTGTGTGTTATATACATTTTGGAAGTTCTCTATGTGCTCAGTATCTGTAAAAACTGTATCTTTAAAGCATATTGTACTCCAGTGTATACAGCCCACATGTGGTGGCATCACAGAAAAAGCAGTAAGCATAAACTTCAGGTATCGTACAACGATGACATGAGGATGCTGCTTAAGGTTCTGCGATGGAGCAGTGCCAGTCAGATGCTCGTAAATGCTAAAGTACCAACTTGTGCTGCTGTGCTTCGAAACCTTATGTACAGATGTATATGCAGGCTAACAGATAGCATCATTTATACTCTGACCAGCTCCATACAAAGCTCGGTTATTTTCTAGTCTGTGGAATCACTGGCGCCTTAATTTATATGGCAATAGATGACGGTTCTATTTTCATTGTGTCTTGTTATTATCTTTTTTTGCCTGTTTTTGTTTACTATGGACCATGTGTGTGTCTGAAATAATGTTTTGATTGATTGATTGAATTAAAATAAATGTTTAAGTCTTTAAGTGATAAAGGTGACACATTTGTAAAAAGAAATAAATGAACTGTGTAATCCAGATTAGTGTGTTGCTATGGATTGTATAAATTAAGAGGAAATTAAAAACTTGTCCAACAAACATTAACTATTGATTTCTTTAATCAGCTGCTCTGGCCAATGAAAAGTTTACAAAGTAGTTAAAATGTATGGACTGAAAACTGTTTTAAGCTTTGTCACTTTGTGGGATGATTCAGAATTGGCTGTTAACGGGCAGGCAGCACGGTGGCTCAGTTGCTGCTGCCTCTTAGCGAGAAGGTTGCCGGATCAAATCCCGGGTGGAGTTTGCATTTTCTCTGAGTGCATGCGTGGGTTTTCTCCGGGTACTCCAGTTTCCTCCCACAGACCAAAAACATGCATGTTAGGCTGATTGGTAACTCTAAATTGTCTCTAGGTGCGAGTGAGCGAGTGAATGGTTGTTTGTTTCTATGTGTCCATGTAATGGACTGGAGAACTGTCCAGGGTGTCCCCCACCTCTCGCACAGGGATTGCTGGACCTGGGCACCAGTGACCCCTGTGACCCGAAAAGGAAGAAGTGGGTAAAGACGATGGATGGATGGATGGATGGATGGATGGATGGATGGATGGATGGATGGATGGATGGATGTATGTTAATGGGCAAGAAAGAGTTTGGAAACTCAAGAATATTTTCTAAGCTCTTGTTCAAAGAATTAATGGGGAAAAAAAAACAACTTTTTTTATATTACATTTGGAAGATTCATCAGGCACCACTGTTTTATTGTGCATCTATATCTGCAGAAAATTTTAATTATTAGTAAAAAAAAAACATTACATTACTAATTTAATGTTAGACCTCTGCAAACAAACTCCTGATGCCAGTTAATCAGGTCATTTACTTGCTTTTAACAATTGTCACAAACTTGTTGTATGTTGCTATTTAATCGGCACTTTAAATAAAAATACATATATTATATAATAATAAATAATAATATAATAATAAAAACTTGTGTTGTTTCATTTAGCAACGTCTCACCTGCGTGGCAGCACAAGAAGCACTTCCTTTGGGGATGAAGGTCAGGTCTTTACCTGAGTTCACAGAAATAAAATAAAAACGTCTCTAACTGTATTTTCACACAGATCTGCTTACTCCTGGTGAAAGGTGCTGAAGCGCAGAGCTCAGATCCAAAGCGAAGTGGATTCTGTTTGTTTAGGAGGCGAGTGAAGTGAAAATGACACGGCAGTAAACAAACCAAACGGAGTCAGACGTTTCAGACCGCAGAAAGAATAAAGAGAAACACACGAAGGAAATCAAAATCAAAAGACACGATCGTGGAGACTTGAAGAAAGCAGAGAGGTGAAGTGAAGGCTGAAATAGTCCTCAGCTAGCTGCAAAGACAAAATGATTATATAGGCCATTAAGAAACAATTACCGTATTTTTCGGACTATAAGGCGCACTCAAAATCCTTTAATTTTCTCAAAAATTGACAGTGAGCCTTATAATCCGGTGCACATTATGTATTAACTCTGGTTGTGCTTACTGACCTCGAACCAGTTTTATGTGTTACAACTGAACAATGCTGAGATTTATTGTGAATGAGTTGAATAAATTTGACTTATCTGACTGTTTGGTTTCACGTAATGCGTCTTATAATCCGGTGCGCTTTAGAGGCCGAAAAATACGGTAAATGCAAAGAAAAAGACCCTCATGCAGCTGAGCACACGAAGCTCACGCAGCTGATGAGGAGAACGCCGCTACGTGATTTATTCCACTTTAAGTTAGTCACCAGGCTCCCTCTAACCCTGCGGTTGTGCTTCTCAGGGAGCTGTGCAGAACATCAGCCGAAACGATGCAGATACAGTTTTGTCTGGTCCAATTTAAAGCAAATATCTGGGTGTTTTAAAGAAATAGTGACCTTTGGTTTTGTCCAGTCGGATCGTCTTATTGGCCAGACTGTAAACAGAGCTGCTCAAGTTCAAGGGCTCGTCACTTCCCACCTGGAACAAAGAGAGAAGGATTTACTTTGGACATATTCTGACACACAGTCGCAGCTGTGAGGGAGTAGAGGACACATGTTTCATTATGGAATAAAAAAGCAGAGGAGATGCTGTTAAATGCAGTTCAGTTTCATCTAAACATTTCATCTAAATCTCTCACTCAGTGAAGTTGATTTACAACCAGTGTTTTAGTCAAATTTACATTTGAAGCTCACGCACAAGAGTCCTGTCGTGAAAACACTGGGCTGTTAAAGTGCCTATTTGCAACATTTTATCTTCACTGAATGAAAATCCAGAAATTAAGACATTTGAAAGAACCAAAAACTTAACTCTTAAAAACCTCCTCACTGGTTCTCGACAGCAGATCGACTGACAAAGAGTGAGAACGTTTGAGGCAGGTGTTCTCAGGCCTTTTGGGTTCAGGGACCCCCTCATAACCCTCATGTTTATTAAATCATTTTCTTCTATTTGTCTCTTTAATGCAATGGAAATATTTGTGTAACATAAATATATAAGACCTGCTCTTTAATATTGTTAATACAATTTTTATATTTTTAGTTTCATTCAGGACACAATTAACAATTTTTTATTTTAACTTCCAAAAATTACAGTGTGAGAAAATTAACAGTATTAAAAACTACTTACAAACTTTACCTGTTCACATAATGAACAGAATCAACGTTTTGCCACTTCTTCAAATTATTACAGAAAACTCTTGACATAAAACTGAACAGAATCAGAACAGCAGTTGTCACAGGGTCTGGGGGGGTCCTCCCCCAGAAAATTGTAATAAAGTAGATGTGATTTCCTGCATTTAGGTGTATTTTAATGGGTTGTTAAACATCTACGTTCTTGTTAAAAAAAATAATAATAATATATATATTTTTTTGGTTTGAGAACCACTGGTTTAAGGAATGCAGTGAAAACCTGAAAAATAAAAAAAGGGGGATTTTCACGAGTCAGAAATGTCTTTCATTCAAATCTGCATCAACAGCAGGTTTGAGCTTTATTAGGTCCAACATCTGCATGTGAGTAGAAAATAGAACTGTAACGTTGGAGACTTTTTCTTTTTTCAGAATAATCATCGATCTGTGACGTTGATCTGAGAAATGATTGGTCACGAAAATTATCCAGAAACTACAAGCGAAGGAGTGTCATGTCCAGAAAACTGCTGCTCCAAAACAAACATTTTACGTGTGATTAGCAGGTGATGCAGAATCACAACGCCTCCTGAAGAAAAGGTCAACTAATCAGTTGTTGGATGATTAACTACAGAGCATCCAACCTCAGAACACAGAACCAGGTTCAGGCCCGGCAGTAGAAGTTCAATGTTCAAAGTCCATCATGGCCTCATTTAAGTGATCTTTTTTATTGAAATCCTAAGGAAGTTTTACCATTAGATCATTTCCAGATGATTAAACTTAACCTGCTCTCTTGTAAAGTTAGAACAAGATGAGCTCGACTGCTGTCACAAGAAAAACGTTTGTTCACACAATGATCCTGAATCAGAGCTGTCCTGGATGAAGCGAGCTCACATGAAGGTTTTTGGACAGAACAACCTTTAAAGTTACTTTATATCTGGAAACAAACGTGTTTTATTTGATTCAACCAGTTCAGCCAAGAAAACTACCCAACAAGTTTTGCTAAACGTTTCCAAAAAGCACTGGGTGAAAAGACAACTTGTGCACAAAATAAAATGTAGTACATTTTCTACATACAAAAAAAAGAAACCATTCTAACTAGAAAAAAATGCATTTCCTGAAAAAATGCAGCTTTTTGCTGAATGGTTGTTGCTGAAAGCTGCAGAAGTTGAACCCAGGCTGAAAAGGTAACATTCTTAACGCGAGTTCAACAGTTGACATTTGCTGAAAGAAGGAAAATAAAAACAGTAGAAAAAACAGCAGAAATTTAAATGAGCAGAATAAGTTGAAATAGGCAAAGAGGTTAAATAGATTACGAAAAAATCTGAAATGAACAAACTGTAATTAAAGTCTAGTTAAATTTATTTATAAAGCACATTTAAAAACAGCAGCTGTTACCAAAGTGCTTAACAATAAAATCAATGGGAGTAATAAACACAGAACAATAAAACAGTAAATCAAATCACACTGTGTTAAACATCAGTGAATACAGGTGCGTTTTAAGGAAAAAATTAAAAACAGGAAGTGAAGTGGACTGTCTAATGTTGGGGGCAGATTATTCCAAAGTTTAGGACCCATGACTGAAAAGGCCCGATCTCCTCTGAGCTTCAAACTGGTTTTTGGTACAACCAAAAGCAGCTGGACAGATGATCTCAGAGCCCGAGAAGGAACATAAGGTCAGAGAGGTATGAGGGTGCAAGGCCATTAATGCACCTAAAGGTCAGCAGGAGAAGTTTAGAGTTACTGTAGTAGAAACGTACTTTAAAATGTTTTTTATAGTTGAAAATAGCAGAAAGAGGCTAAAAAAGAGCATAAACATTAAAAATAATCTAAAAAATGCTGAAATTGGTTTTAAAAAAGTAGCTGGAAAAGCATAAAAGAGCTGAATTCAGCAGAAAGAAGCTAAATAAAGAACAAAGGAGCTGAAATGAACTGAACCAGAAGAAAAGCTGAAAAGGCAGTAAAAGGTTTGAAACAGCACAAAGGTTTTTTGAAAAATGTAAAAAGATGGATCTCAAATTCAGAACTGAATTCAAAATCTTACTTCTAACCTACAAGGCCCTCAACAACCTAGCTCCATGTTATATTACAGATCTAATTGTTCCATATTTCTCAACAGAGCACTTAGCTCTCAGACTGCAGGCTTACTCGCGTTTCCTAGCGTTTCCAAAAGCAGAATGGAAGGAAGATCTTTCAGTAATGAGGCTCCTCTCTGAATTGAATTGAATTGAAAAGAGCTCCATTCGTTTTCAAAGAGTAAAACATGGCTAAAAAAGCTAAATATTTCTAAACTGCAAAGGTCGTAGCGGGAATGTCCTGAATGAGCTCAATGTTTTGATATGAGTTGTTGAAATTGCACAGAAACTGCAGAAAAACCTGCAGAAAAACAACGAATCTCAGTGAATGTAAGCTTCAGAGACATTCACACAATAACTGAACCATCCAGTTTGTTCATGCATGACTTTTTATTCAAAGCACTCGGGGTTCAGGACACAACTTTAAATCCACCGAGGATATATTTGAACTCATTTACATCGCAGAGAAAATGTTAATCATTCACTCACTAAGAACAGGCGTGGCGTGCAACACACTCACCATGGTGACCACGGTCTCCTGAGGTCTGAGCTGGTGTTTCTGCATCACCACAGAGAGGGCTTCCTGCAGAGTCTTACTGGACTTCACCTTGATCCCCACTGTTCTGCTGGTGAAAGCAATCTCCAGTCTGCAACACAAACACACATCACTAACACCCCCACACGTCAAACTTTGATTAAAATCAGTCAAAGGAAGCTGACAAGCATCATTCTTGACTCCATTTGACAACCTATTGAACTAGAGAAGTTACATTTCCTACGGAAATGCAGTGTGAATGCTTATTGCTTTAGAACTTGCTGAAAAACAGCTGAAATTATCTTGAAAGAATACATATTTGCTGAATTAGGCTGAAAGAAGCATAAATCAGCACAAAAAAGTGGAAATAATCTGAAAAAAAGCTGAAATTAGCAACAAACAAAAAAACAGCTGAAAAGTAGCTAATAAAAAAGAAAGAAGCTTAAATTGCTGGAAGGAAGTGGAAGGAGTACATTTTTGCTGAAATAAGTTGAAATGAATGCAACAAAAGGGGAATTGGATGAAAAAGCTAAAATTAGCATAAACAGCTAAATAGTAGCTGAAATAACAAACTAGCAGAAATAAGCTTAAAGGAGCATAACAAGCTAAAATTAGTAGAAAGAAGTTAATTAGGCTGAAATAGCAGAAATTACAATGAAAAACTTTTATTTATCTGAAAACAGCATAAATTTGCAAAAACAAACCAAAAACAGCTGAATAGAGTAGCTAAAAAAAGCAGAAAAAAGACTAAATTTCCAGAAGAAAGTGGAAAGAGGATAACTGTGTCCAATTAAGCCTAATGAAGCAGAAATTAGCACAAAAAAGTGGAAATTATCTGAAAAAAAAAACAGAAATTTGAAAAAATAAATAAATAAAAACAGCTGAATAGCAGCTAAAAGTGCAGAAAGAAGCTTAAATTACCAGAACTGAGTAAAGAAAGCAATTTTTGCTAAATTAGGCTGAAAATATTTTAAATGAGTGCAAAAAATATGAAATTAGCTGAAAAAGCTCAAATTCGCATAAAACTGCTAAAAATAGTAGCTGAAATAGAAATAGTTGAAACTTGCAGAAATAAGCTGACATTAGAATAATAAGCTGAAATTAGCAGAAAGATGTTAGAATAAGCACAAAAATGTTGTCGTTAGCAGAATAAAGAAGAAAGGAGCACAAAACAGCTGAAAAAACTGCTGAAATTAGCAGATTTTTTTTATTTGCACAAGGAAGCTGAAACAAGCTGAACCTGAACAAAATGTGAAAGGAGCAGTAAAAGGTTGTGAACACATCTAAAGACCTGAAGGATGTAAAATGAGCTCAGTTCATTTTCTATGAGGAAATAAATAGCAGAAAATGTTAAATATTTCAAAAAGCTAAAGTTGCACCAGTGCCAAAAGTCATATCACCCTTCTCCTGAACGAGCCGAACATTTGCTTTATGATTTGTTGAAATAGCACAAAAATTGTGGAACGCGAAAGATGCTGAAAAACGTACGGAAGAAAAATGGATCACAACAGTGTGAATGCTTCATGAACATCCACACAATCGAAGAATTGATCTGTTTCATATCACCCTTTAATCTGGTGAAATATGGCGCGGTGCAGTGGGCGTGAAAGCCTGCTGTGGTGACTAACACAGGAGTGGGAGAAATCAAAAGAAGGAAGAGACTCGGCTGACTCACGCAAATGTCACCCAGAGCTCGAGAGTGACCTGCTGATCTCTCAGCACGGAGCAGTCCTGGTCCAGCAGTAAGGGCTGCAGGAGAGATGGAGATCAAGTCTCAGACAGGAAGAAGTCAAGGTCATTTTGAGGTCATCTGGTCTCACAAACACTGTTGGAGAGGAGGATTGTGGGTACTTCAGTTTTAGTTGAGTCACCTTGTTCTTGCCATTAAGATAAATGGCCACATCCTTCAGTGGGAAGCCTCTCTTCTCACACAGATTAGCCAGCATGTCTTTGATCTGTTGGCCGTCTCTTGTGGGGGCCAGAGAGGCGCTCCCGTCCGGCAGGTAGACACAGCAGTAACCTCCCTCCACCCCGACACGACCTCCACTTCCACCCCCCCGGTCAGACAAGCGAGGGCTGGAATGGCCATTCTACAGAACCCAGAGAAAATAAAATAAATCTATTCAAAACTACACTTTCTCTTGTGTTGTTAATAAAAACTAAATTACAGCAGCTTGTGTTCAGTTTTTTGTCACAGGTGTACTTACCGGATGCTGCCTGTGGAGGGCGCCAAGCTCCACATTGCTGGTGGATTTCACTGATAGATGGGAGTTTTTTAAACCTCCTGAGACTTGGTCATTGGATGGATCTTCAGTAAACAAATTAAAAAACAACAAAACAAGAAAAATGAGACAAAAATTTTATTTTTCTTAGTATATTAGAACAGAGGCACAAAATGTATTAGATGGCACTACCTCCCCAGGATCCTCTCATCTGTGGCCGTTTCTCCGAGGCTCTCTTCCCACCCAACAAAGAGTCTGACTTCTTGCTCTGTTTAAAGAATAAAATTTATAATTTTGCAGCAAAGACCAAACAGGAATGTCTTTGTCTCAGTTCGCCTAACCATCGTGTCACTTGAGGTGTTCGTGACCACGTCCTCCCAGGACCCCATGTGCCTCGGCCCTGCAGAGAGCCGTGACAGAAGTTTGCCTTCGACGCTCGCTAAGGTGCAGCTCTGGTAGAGAGGAGAGCGGACGAAGCGCCTATAGCTGTCCATCTTCATCAACTTGAAAATCTGGCACAACAAACGTGAAACAGTCAAACTACGAGTCATCGTTAATGCCGAGTCGACGGGAGCCAATGCAGACCTGCGTCTGAGCTCGGTTGAACATGTCCGGAGTAGGCTGCTCCAAGTCCTTCTCCTCCGTCTTGGCGGTGTCGTCGATGTTTACCGGGTCAGGAGCGCTTTCAGACAGGTAGGTATTGTAGATAGAGCGAGCTGCTGCTTTCAGCTGCCAACAGGGGCGACACTTTTAAGAACTTAAACTTTCCTTCCCGATCAGACTTTATAAATTGTTAAAACATAGAAACACATGAGCACAGCTGAGACGATTCCAAATTTCTGGATAAATTTCATTTTGACTTCAAGCTTTCATTTTTGATCCCAGAATCTCACGACTGAAATAATCCACAAAGACCCTGAATGTCTAATGGCCCTGAAAGATGAGCGTTCTTACAAACTGGTAAATATCGAATTTGTCATTTTGTGAGCAGAAGAATTTATTTTGACAATAGAAGAAAAAAAAATGTCTCCATAGAGCTAACTTAAATACCATCATCCATCACTGCAGTTAACAGAAAAATATTAAGTTTTGTTCATCAACAGTAAAAGATGGGTATTTAAGACAACATTGAGCAACTACTACATCACTTCTCATAAAGATTCTACTTAAAAAATGTAAGTAAATGGTTATAGAGTGTATTTATTAAAAAATAGTAGAGGGTTACAACAATATATTGGGTAAAAATTAATCTAATTTATTTATTTATTCCCTCAGCTGCTCGCTTCTTCAGGGGTCGGTCACCACAGCGAACTAAGTCACACGAAGACTTGGTGATTAATTTTACACCAGGTGTCCTTCCTGACACAACCACAGACCACCGAGCTACCACAGCCCTCTGTGAGGAGCAGAGAGCTGCTGTCGGAGCAGATGGTGGGGGTTAAGGGCCTTGCTCAAGGGCCCAGAGTGGGGCAAATGAGGGTGCAGGCAGGTGTGGGTGCTTCACCTATCCCACCCACATTTTCATGTTGTCGGTACCGGGAGTTGAACCGGCGATCTTCCAATCATAGGCCCACCTTCTCTAACCTCTGCGCCACCACTCTCACAATCTACTTCATTAAATAAATGGTAGAAACAGCCATCATACTTCATCCAAAGAGTTTGCAGGGATCTTCCTGAACTTCTCACACGCCTGCCAGAATAAAATGTTCTCTGCACTCACTTCTGACTTGAGGAAGGCCTGCGGACAAACAAGCAGACAGCATGAACACGTGCGCTTTTCTTGACAACACAAAAACATCAGCAAGTAAAAAAACATTTTTCAAAGCTTGTTAAAGCTCTAAAACTGCGTCGAGTGTTTCTCACCGTGAAGTTACTGACCCCGCAGGGGTCCTCCAGCAGCTTCTCAAAGGAGACGGCCCAGCTCAGCACGCTGTTGGCGGGGCCGGCGTCTCCGCCTGGGGTCCCTGGAAGGCTGGAGCTGCTGCCTCCACAGCCGCGTGCAGTCATGTTCAGCTCTGCAACACGATCACAAAGACACTCGTTTATCAACGCTGAAAAGACTAACCCAGGCGAGGGATGGAATCAGATATTTTCATGTACAGACGTGTTTCAGATTGTACAAGTAAGATTAGCAGCGAGCTCCACTTCTCCTGCTTACCTCCATCTGACAACGCCTGGCTCTGCGAACAGAAAGAAAAGTCAGCCATGAGGCGTCACATCCAGCCAGAAACACAGGAAAACACCGGATATCAAACCTTTCTGTGGAGTTTGCTGTTTCACATCAATATTTGTTGTAGTCGGGAAACCAACCTGGACTGAATCTAAAATAACTAGAGAAATTACATTTCCTGCAAAAATGCAGTGTGAATGCTTATTGCTGATGAACTTGCTGAAGAACTGCTGAAATTAGCTAAAACATGCTGAAATGTAGCTGAAATGGAAGCTCAAGCTAAGTTGGCAAAATAAAGCAGAAAGAACACATAGTTGCCCAATTATGTTTAAATAAGCAAAAATTAGCACAAAAATATTAGTCAAAAAAGCTGAAATTAGCAACAACAACAAAAATTGCTGAAAAAGCAGACAGAAACTTAAACTACTAAAAAGATTTGGAAGGAGCTGAAATGAGATAACGAAGCTGTGGAATTAACTGAAAAAGTTAAATTTAGCACAAAACAGCTAAAAAATAGCAGAAAAAGCTGAAACTAGCAGAAAAAGGCCGAAAGGAGCACAATAAGCTGAAATTACCTTAAAGAAGTTAAATAGGCTGAAAGTAGGATAAATTACTACAAAAAAATTAAATTAATCTGAAAAAAACTGAAATGATCTAAAAATGCAATTTAAAAAGTAGATGAAAAGGTGGAACAAGCTTAAATTAGCTGAAGAAATAAGAAAGAACATGTTTGCTGCTAGAAGCAAAAATTAGTATAAAAGGTGTAAATGACCTGAAAAAAAGCTGAAATTAGCAAAAAATAAAATAAATCTGAATAGTAGCTAAAAAAGCATAAAGAAACTGAAAATACAAGAATGAAGTGGGGAGAACACATTTTTGCTGAATTAGGCCAAAAACAGATTAAATGAGTGCAAAAAATGTAGAATTAGCTTAAAAGACTAAAAAAATAGCATAAAAGCAGCAGAAATAGTAGCAGAAATAGCAGAAAATGCTGAAACTTTTAGAAATCAGCTGAAAGGAGCTTAACAAGCTGAAATTGGTAGAAAGAAGTTAGAAGAAGCAGAAAAATGTTGTAGTTAGCAGAAAGAATCTGAAAGAACAACTGATAAAACTGCTGAAATTAGCTGAACATATATTTTTTTTTATTATATTTGCACAAGGAAGCTGAAAGAAGCTGAAGCAGAACAAAATGCGAAAGGAGCAGTAAAATGTTGTAAACAGAGCTAAAGATTTGAAGGATGTAAAATGAGCTCAATTAATTTTCTATGAGAAAAAAGTCAGAAAAGGCTAAATATTTCAAAAAGCCAAAGTTGCACCAATACCAACAGTCATAACAGGATTGTCCTGAAACAGCTGAACATTTTGATGAGTTGTTGAAATAGATTGAAAACTGCAAGATGAGAATCACGCCGAAAAACGAACAGAAGCAAAAAGGATCACAATAGTGGGAATGCTTCATAAACATTCACACCATTAAATTTACACCAACTGTGAAAAGCACGTGATGTTCACTTTGCACGTTCAGAAAAAGAACAACCGAAAGCAGTTTTCATACATTTCAACATATCAGTTGCACTGCGCTCTTCAAGCTGTATGAATCCATACATTAAGGAAGTGAAATGTGAACATCAGCTGCATGTAGCATTTCCTCCCCTCCGTGTAACGACGTCGTGCAACAAGCCGAGGCTACTTTCACAGGAAGTGGTTGAACTGATGACAACAGCTTCCATTCAGCTTTTTGAGCACAAACTTCACTTCTTGCAAAGTTTTTTTTTTTTTTTACCATTATTACTGAACCTGTGAAGACAACCGTGCCTCTTCACAGCCCTACATGACCACCCAATAAAAGTAAAAACACAGCAAAGATCCAGATCAGCACTTAAATGTTATGGTGATTTTATTGAAACAGGAACAGAAAATATTTGTTTTTAATTCATATGCACATGTCTGAAGTTCACAAAATGTCTGGGCTTCCTCCCACACTCGACATGTACGCAGACTGTGAGTAAAAACTGCTCAGAGGTGTTAAAGTGAGCGTGCCAGGTGGGCATCATTGCGTGAGAAAACCTGCACACTGACTGCGCTGGCTCTTCAGTTTATAAATCGAGCCAGTACTCTCACCATTAATGTGTATAAACTAAGAACTGGTTTGCTCACATCTTCCTTAAACTCAAAACTGACAACTGGTGGGTTTCAAGTCTCTTAATGCCACCGTTGACCATTCCACAGTCTGCTACCTCCCTCAAGTCAACCTTGTAGATGACATCATCAGCAGTTTATCCTTTGGATAAACAGCAATATTCTCGCTTGTTCCTTTTACTTTCATCGGCTTCTCACAGCTTTTAAACTTTCTTTCTGGTTTACACCTCAAATCGATCCTTTACTTTAGTCGCTCCAGAACTGCTAACCATTTCATTACCAGAACCATTTCTACTGAACTGAATATATTTAATAGATTTTGCATTGTTTCTTGTGCAATATCTTAAATAACTCATCTGCAAGTCAGTTAAAACAACTTGTTCGCCATCTGCTTCTGTTTTGTAAATGTGGCTTTTCTGCATGCGCTCCTAATGCATCACAACTCACTCCACGACCCCCACCCACGTCTCCTTCCCTCCAGCAGGCACTGGGTTATGTGTCAGAAGTGAGGAACGGCTCACTAGCAAGGATTCGGGGACACGGTAATGTAAGTTATTAAATAAATAACGTTTTAAAAAACCACTGGATTTACAGTATCGTCTACAAACACAAATTAGATTGGCGGTTTTGGTTTGTTTTTTTGGATGGAGGGCTCTCAACAAGAGGGAAATATTAATTTTTATTTTTAAATTTGGACTATAATGACCATTTTCCATATATGACATGCATTGGCTGAGAGCTGGCTCCAAGCCAGACCCAGGAATCAGCAGGAAGCCAGGTTCCAGTCCCAGTCCACCTCAGATGGGTGAAATGGAGAAAAGTCCTTGTAAATTGCTCAAACACATCGGAATGATGAGGCAACCGCCTGCTGGATCAGACGTGGACCAGGAGGAAAACATCCCTCCGGTGACAGCGTGAACCTCTGGTTTTGGTATCATATCCATAATGGGTAATGAGATGATGGATGTCTCCTGGTCGGACGAAACATCTTTCTTCTGATGAAAGGAACGTGTCAGTGTCAACCAAGTTTAGACACCTTTAACTGACTGTACGAATCAGAGATAAAGTTAACCTAAATTTTAACATTAATCCAAAATTGAATAACATCTCTTCTCAAAGTTTTAAGCTATCTTATATTATGTACCCTTCTGAAATAACACCATTTGGTTATTCATTCATATTTCATATATTTGCCATATTGTCACTATTCAAACTGAAAATAAACGTGACAGAATTGTGCTTTTAATTGATCGGGTTGTGTGTCTTTATTTGAGTGAGGGGAATTGCCACGTTGCCAAGAATCCATAATTAAATCAAGGTCGGTTCACACGGACGGTTGGGGTAAACATCTGTTAAAAGGTGTATTGTTGGTTCCGACTAAATAAGTATTCCCCTACATATATTGTTGTGACTGTATTTTGTAAATGAGTCCCCGAGGCTCAGTGGGATTAACCTGTATACATAAAGGTTGAATGAATGAAAGTTTATTAAGCTACTGTTTAAATAAGACGTTTGGTTTGTGTGCAAAGATATGCATACTAGATCACCCATTGTCATTTAGTTAGCTTTGTGTGTTGTTCATATTGAACCCATGTGACAAATGACATCCGAGTGCGATGGCATCAATGTTGGTCAGAAGGATTTCCGAGTTCTCCCACATGAGTTATATTGATCGTTTTTGTAGTCACACTCGCCCACTCCGGCCTAGCCTTTGACAGACTGCATCCAAATGTTGGGTGTTGTGATACGTATTGTGTTATGAGTGGACAGGTGAGAAGTTTATTTTTATCTTGATGACCAAACATGGCTCTTGTTGCTGCATTGGCCAATAGTGTCGAGTGAAACTTAAACACAGTGACTAAATGGAGAGTTAAAAATATAACAATGTGCATCATATTTTGAGATAGAGTCTCCAAATGTTCCAATCCATTTTTGGTCATTTTGACCATATACGTATGTATAATATTCCTGTTCTTAATACATGGCTGCATGTCCAGTATTGAGTTTGTGATTCTTCTTACTTTTACTGTGCTTAATAATCCATAACACTCTGAAATTTGCCAACATTACACTTCATCACAAACCCTACCAACCTTTTCTTCCAGGGTCTCCACTCCAGTGAACTTCAGAGCCCTCAACCTGTGTCCCAACTTCCAGAACTGTTTTCCCACTTTCCATCTGCATCATGAACTCCTTCCAAACCTTTAAAACCTCAATAAACTCACCTTTCCAGACTGGTCTATTCCACAGGACTTCGTTAATTTTTTAGAGGAGTTTCCAAAAAAAAGTAGAATTGAAAGGTGCACACAAATGAAAATCAAATGCCTTTTTAAAATTGTGACAATATCTAGTTGGCTTAGTGTACTGTCTTCTTCTTTTCTTTTGGCTTTTCCCTCTTCAGGGGTCTCCACAGTGAGTCATCCTCCATCTCACTCTGTCCTCTGCATCCTCTGTCCTCACTCCAACTACCTCTATGTCTTCTCTAACTGCATCCATATTTCTCCTCTTTGTCTTTTTCCTGGCAGCTGCATTTCTAACATCCTTCTACCAGTATACCCACTGTCCCTCCTCTGGACATGTCCAAACCATCTCAGTCTGGACTCTCTAACTTTATCTCCCAGTTGTTCAACCTGGGCTGTACCTCTGATGATCTCATTCCTAATCTTGTCCATCCTTGTCACTCCTAAGAACCTCAACATCTTGAACCTCAACATCTTCATTTCTTTCACTTCCAGTTCTTTCTCCTGTCTTTTTGTCAATGTCTCTGTCTCCAGACCATACAACATGGCTGGTCTCACCACTGTCTTGTAAACTTTTCCTTTAACCTTTGCTAACACCTTTTGTCACAAATCACTCCTGAAACTTCTCTCCATCCACTCCATCCTGCCTGGACTCTCTTCTTCACCTCTTTACCACACTCCCCATTTTCCTGGACAGTTCACCTCAAGTACTTGAAGTCCTGCACCTTTGTGACCTCTGCTCCTTGTAGCATCACTGTTCCACCGGCCTCCCTCTCATTCACACACATGTACTCTGTCTTACTACGGCTGACTTTCATTCCTCTTCTTTCAAGTGCTTATCTCCACCTCTCCAAGTTCTCTTCCACCTGTTCCCTGTTCTCACCACAGATCACAATGTGAGTTGGTTAAGTGTACTGTACATCCCCCAAAATGTATTTTCTTTGTACAAAAACAAAGATGGACTAGAAGAAAATGGCTGCCAATATTTGTTGTGCATATGAGCAATTTTACAGTGTAAACTCTGTAAACATGTAAACACATGTCCAGGACTAAAAGCCACATCAATGATAAATAAATAATTAATTTCAAACATGTACTCTAGCAGATTAAACAGATTAAACATTGAACATGGGGAGGGAATGGGGCTGCCAAGATGGGTACTAGTAATGGGTCCAAAGTCAGTTTCTATTTGAGAACTGCCTCCGAGCTGAGAAGAGCCATTTGGGAACCAAGAGAGCCAGTTCCTTTTGAACTGACTCAAGTCAGTTTCCAGAAAAGAATCATAAAAATCCATCCATCCATCCATCCATCCATTATCTTTACCCGCTAATTCCATTTTGGGTCACGGGGGTCGCTGGTGCCCATGTCCAGCAATCACTGTGCGAGGGGCGGGGTACACCCTGGACGGGTCGCAAGTCCATCACAGGGCCACATAGAGACAAACGAGACAAACAACCATTCACTCTCTCACTCACACCTAGGGACAATTTAGAGTTACCAATCAGCCTAACATGCATATTTTTGTCTGTGGGAGGAAACCGGAGTACCCGGAGAAAACCCATGCATGCACGGAGAGAACATGCAAACTCCACCCAGAAAGGCCCCTGAACCGGGGTTTGAACCAAGGACCTGCTCGCTGAGAGGCAGCAGCTCTACCAGTTGCGCCACCGTGCTGCCCATCATAAAAATCATTTTAAAAAAAAAAATGTATGCCTCTTTTATGATTGTTAATTGTTGTCATTATTATCCACTGTTGTCATCACTCTTTGTTAAGAAATCAGGTCTCTCTTGTAAATTAGTCTCCAAGGCTCAATGGGATCAATCTGTCTAAATAAAGGATGAATGAGTGAATAAAGTCCCGTCCCGAGAAGGTGCAAAACAAGCCAAGGTTGGTATGATGTAGGCAATAAGCATGGCCAGGAATGTAGTTTGACAATCAACACGCAAAAATAGGCAATGATTTTTAAAAACTGGTCTTCAAAATGTAGCCAAATAGCTTATTGGTCATGTTGTTGCAAGCACAGAATTCAATGAGACAACAATGTCAAATTTTCAGAGTTTCTTGCAACTTTCCTCCTGTTTTGAGTCACCAACTAGTTTTTAAGAGTCACAGTACAAAGTGATACCACCTTAATTGGTTGAGCGCTACAACTGAGAACTCAAAATTCAATTTAGAGTCTGTTGTGAGACTATACAGGACACCCTTCATATAAAAAAATGAATCCTTCATTCAAGTCAACCTTTATTTATACAGGTTAGTCTCACTGAGCCTCATCATCAGCCTTCATCATTCATTTACTTGTACTCGTTTCGACATCTGCACTTTAAGCAGTGACAGATGAGTAAACTGATATTAGTTATTACTCAACATCCAAAACCTTTTGGCTTCATTAAAATGTATCTATAGATACACTTGACACTTCTTTTCAGAGCTGAACCATTTCGGGAAATATAATGAGTCTCGGAGCGAGTGAATTCGAGCCAAGTCAGCCTTCACTTGACAGATTGGACAACAGGCATGGCTTGGTTTCTGCTTTTGGCTCAGGAAGGCCCAACCTGTTTTCTGTGGCAACCAACTGTAGCCATGCAGCCCGACTGGATCTGACCCTGCAGAGTGAGACAGGAAACTCAAGCCAGCACAGCACATCTGCTCTTCTGCTCTTTTGACACTCCAAAATAATATCATCTAATAAAAGTATCAGTGCAGCGAAAAGCTTAGAAACAACTCTACATTAACACAGAACTTCTATCACACTCAGAGCAAGTAATGGTAAATGGTAAATGGACTGTACTTATACAGCGCCTTTCTATCTTATTTCAAGATACTCAAAGCGCTTTACACTACAATCTGTGTCCTCATTTACCCATTCATACAGCACTCTACTAGATCTATACAAAGCTAATTGAACAAATCATTCTAATGAGACAATTCAGGGCTTTAGATCACATTCATACACTGATGGGACACACATCAGAGGCTATGAGGGGTTCAGTGTCTTGCCCAGGGACACTTCGACATGTGACTGCTGGTGGATTTGAACCCCCAACTCTCGCATTGGAGGACGACTGCTCTAACCACTCAGCCACAGCCGCTAGGTGTAGAAACAAGTGTAGAAACAAAAGCAATGGGCACAAAGAACAGCTACAGAACCACCTCAGCCCGCCCAACAGAGATGTAAACTCACCATGTGGCCAACAGGAATCCCCAAGCTGTTGAAGTTCTTCGCCATGGTGGCCCAGATTAAAAACCTGAAGTTGTCTGTGAAGCGCAAACTGTCAAAAGAACGCAGCAGAGTGCTCCACCCAAACTTCAGGCACACTTCTCATACACAAACACTCAAAAAAGAACGCATCACTTGGGTCTTCCTGTCACTTCCTGCATGGAAGGGAAGTCTTGCCATAGCAACAAGCCACAAAAGAGGAAGTCTGGTTACTATGATCAAACTGTTTTCGACCTACATCTTGAGAAACTCTATGATGTGGGACCACAGGCAGACTCATTGCGCCTTTTCATGTAGTCACCGTGAAGCCTGCTCAGCCGAACACTTGCTGAGTGTTTTACTGTTAAAAACACAGAGCAGCTGCAGTTTTGGTTTTGCATATATCAAAGGTTTGCTGCTCAGTGGAAAAGTTCAGAGGACTTCCTGAATTAAAAACATACAAATTCAAAAGTGCTATAAACATAACAATAAACAGTGCTAATTATTTTCCTAAAATTACTTTCTCTTTTTTAATTAGTGTGTATAGTTAAAAATAAAGTTATTTTAGATGACAAAAAAATGCACAGACGCAATTTTTAAAATGTTATTAACTTAGCTTGCTAAAAAGTTGTGTTTATTTCTCATATGTGAGGTTAACACAGGGTTAACAGTACAATGAAATGCTCAGGATGAGAAGAACCGATTGGACTCGCGGAAAAAAAAATCACAGAACAAACCAATACACGATGCATGCAATAAGGGTACACAAAAAAAGTACCAAAAAGTATGTCCTAAAGAGAGGTATTGCGCAACAACATGGTAGAATAAATATAATGGTGCAACAGGATGTATTTGAATGGAGGATAAGTATTTCAAGGTAGTAATATAAGATATATATATATATATATATATATATATATATATATATATATATATACATATACAGCACATAATCAACATATACCACACGTGTTGTGTGACAGGTTATTGCACAGGTAGTGACATTGAGGTTGAATTATTAGTTAGTTATTGCCAGATGTTCAATGTTATTTATTGAGAGTTCAGTAATATGATAGCTTGTGGGTAATAGCTGCCTGTCTAACATGCCTGTCTTGTATTTGTGTTGCCAAAGTGCACAACTTGCTATATTTCCTGTGTTGCTTTTGAGCTGCAAACTTAGCCAAGCAGGTGAACCTGTGATAAACAGCCCTGAAAGCAGCCATGTTTTTTGACAAAAGGCACAAAAACAATAAAACTACAGAGCTAACATTTAGCAAAGGATCAAGTTAGCTGAAAAGTTATGACATGAGCACAAATGACTTGGAGGTGCGAGCCGTCAGTTGATTAAGTCAAGCTGATGTGTTTTTGACAACTTTCTAGCAACATTTATCCACTTATCAAGACAGTTTTACAGTTTTTAGTTTCTTATTTTGAAGGATAATTACAAATAAAAACTGATAGCTGGTTTTGTTACAAAACATTGAACTTTTGATTGCTTTGTCACGTAATAAAATGAAGCTAGTTAGCCTAGCCACTCTGCCTTGAACTGCTTCTGTTTATTTTGGGTTTTATGTGCACAGGTCCTCCTCCAAGTGGAGGAGCTGAAGTATCTCAGGGTCTTGTTCATGAATGAGGGGAAAATGGAGCAAGAAATCAATAGAAGGATAGATGCTGCATCTGCAGTGAAGCGAGCGCAGTATCAGTCTGTTGTGGTGAAGAGAGAGCTGAGTCAAAAGGTGAAGCTCTCAATTTACCAGTCGATCTACGTTCCTACCCTCATCTATGGTCATGAGCTTTGGTTGTGCCCGAAAGAACATGATCTCGGATACAAGCAGCCAAAATAAGTTTTCTCCGCAGGGTGTCTGGGCTCTCCCTTAGAGATGGGGTGAGAAGCTCGGTCATCCACAAGGGACCCAGAGTAGAGCCGCTGCTTCTCCACGTCGAGAGGAGCCAGTTGAGGTGGCTGGGGCATCTGGTTAGGATGCCTCCTGGACACTGCCTTGGTGAGGTGTTCCGGACACGTCCCACCGTGAGGAGACCCAGAGGAAGATCCAGGACACGCTGAAGGGACTATGTTTCTCAGCTGGCCTGGGAACGCCTTGAGATTCCCTCAGAGGAGCTGGCCCAAGTGGCTGGGGAGAGGGAAGTCTGGGCCTCCCTACTTAAGCTGCTACCCCCGCGACACGACCCCGGATAAGCAGAAGAAAATGGATGGATGGATGGATGTGCACAGGAGCAAATATAACATGCAAAGTATGACACAAAAACAACACAGGCTTTATGCTCATAAAGGGACAGTCCATAGTCAGAGCTCAAAGTTTACAAGTTATGACTTGGTTACTTGTAGCAGTAGGCTACGTTTGCATATACAGGAACAGGAATAAACAGAATGTTTGTGGAAGAAAAACAGCTGAATGTCACAGATGTTTAGAGAAATTAATTAATAAAAGATTTTAGAAAAAGAAACAATAAAGAGAAATAAAGTTAACATATGAACAAACTATGAGCTTTAATTAAAAAGTTATGACCTCATTAATAAATAAAGCCACAGATTCAACCACCAAGTGACTCAAAGTGGCTTAAAAAAAAGCTAAAAGAATGCCTAATGTCACTTTACGTCAAACAGAGGCTAATAATTTAAAGTACATATAACCTAAATGAAAAATAACACTCAAAACCACTTGAGATGTTAGGAACTATAAAGAACAAATATTAACTACAGAGACTAACTTAGATCTCAAATGTCTGTGATGGTGGGGAGACTGACTCCAACATCTTCTGTGCAGCCTTCACCACTCTCTGCAAAGCTTTTCTTTCTGCAGCTGTGCAGCCTCCATGCCGCACGTTGATGCTGGAGCACAGGATGCTCTCCACTGCACACCTGTAGAAGGAGGTGAGGACTGAGCTTCCCAGACCAGCTCGTCTCAGACGCCTGAGGAAGTAGAGTTGAAGATTATTATGATTGAAATAATTGTTTGAAAAAAGGGGCAGATATAATAAGATTTTTTCTTCTTTCTGCTGCCTTTCATTTTAAATCTTTTGTATCCTTTTTTTTTATATTGTTATGGAATTGTTTTGTACTTTTTTTAAATGAATAAACTATATACCATACCATACCATACCAAGTAGAGGCTCTGATGAGCTTCCTTGATCAGGCTGGTGGTGTTGTTGCTCCAGCTGAGGTTGTCATTCATGTGTACACCCAAGTACTTGTAGCTGGAGACCACTTCCACTGCAGATCCTCTTACGTTCAGGGGGTGTAGGTGTGTTTGTTCCTTCTGAAGTCCACAATCATCTCCTTTGTCTTCTTCACATTGATGTGAAGGTTATTCTCTCTGCACCAGCTCTCCAGGTGTTCCACCTCTTGCCTGTAGCTGGACTCATCATTGTTTGTGATGCATCCCACCACTGCTGTATCATCTGCAAACTTTACAATGTGACAGCCTGGATGGGTAGCTGCACAATCATACGTGAGCAAAGTAAACAGGAGGGGGCTCAACACACATCCCTGAGGAGAGCCAGTGCTGAGGGTTATGGTGGAGGAGGAGAGGTTGTGGTTCCTCACTAACTGTGGTCTGTTTGTTAAGAAATCTAGGACCCAGTTGCAAATGGAGGGGCTTAGTCCTAGTGTGAATAGTTTGTTCATCAGGGTTTGGGGGATCATGGTGTTGAAGGCAGATGTGAAGTCCACAAAGAGCATACGGACGTGAGTTTTTCTGCTTCAGGTGGTTGAGAATAGTGTGAATCACAGAGGAGATGGCATCCTCTGTTGATCGGTTCTCACGGTATGCATACTGATGAGGGTCCTCGTTGATGTTGATGGTTGTTTTGATGTGAGTCATGACCAATTTTTTGAAGCATTTAGCAACTATCGGGGTGAGGGCCACTGGCCAATAGTCATTCAGACCAGTCACTAGAGCTTTTTGGGACTGGGATGATGACGGCAGTCTTCAGGAAGGTGGGTACTGTCTCCAGGGTAAGTGAGGTGTTAAAGATGTCTGCCAGCACCTCACAGAGCTGATCGGCACATTCTTTCAACACTTTTCCGGGGATGTTGTCTGGGCCAGTTGCCTTGTGCGGATTAATCCTCCTGAAGGTACTCCTTACTTCGGCTGAGGTCACGCCGAGATGCTCTTCATCCGGTGATGAGGTGAGTCTGGTGCCGGGTTGTCTGTTCGGGTCTTCAAAGCATGCATAGAACTTGATGAGGGCATCAGGCAGAGATGGGTCTTTGGGGCATTGTTCGCTCCTTCCTTTATAATCTGTTATGCACTTAATGCCCCTCCACATGCTCCGAGGGTCTTGTGAGGTGAATTGACCCTCGATTGAAAATATATACAGTAATACATTGACACATTTAAGTCACCAATGAAAGATAATAACCAGCTAAGTGGAGCAAATTTATGCACATAATTGCATGCAGTCAGCACGGTGGTGCAGATGATAAAACTGCTGCCTCTCAGCGAGAAGGTCGCTGGATCGAATCTTGGCCCGGGGCCTTTCTGTGTGGAGTTTGCATGTTCTCTCCGTGCATGCATGGATTTTCTCCAGGTACTCCAGTTTCCTCCCGCAGACCAAAAACATGTATGTTAGGCTGATTGGTAACTCTAAATTGTCCCTAGGTGTGAGTGAAAGAATGAATGGTTGTCTCAAAAAGTCTCTATCCTTGTGATGGACTGGAGACCTCGCCAGGGTTTACATTTTGTCTTGCACAGTAACTGCTGGATATGGACACCAGTGGCCCTCATGACCCAAAAAGGAAGAAGTGGGTAAAAGATAATGGATGGATGGGTGGATATGGATGGATGGATGGAGGGATGGAGGGATGGATGGATGAATGGATGAATGGATGAATGGATGAATAGATGGATGGATGGTTGGATGGATGGATGGATGGATGGATGGATGGATGGATGGATGGATAATTGCATGCATGCCAGGAAACCACATCTGGGTTGTTAACCTTTTTCATGAATGCAACACTGGCAATGCCTCCAAATTAATTATTTAAGAAACAAAGCTCTTTAATTGCTTTTATGACCACAAGATGCACGATGAAAGATGTCTCATAAGCTGCTGAAATGAATGTAATTAAAGTCATTTAAAAAGCATGTTGGGACCCATGGGGTGCAAACTTGCCTCCTTCTCTGAGCAACTGACTGCATTCAGACAACAGTCATGGGACTCAATCGCTGACATTAACCGACACCTTGAATTTGAACAACTCATTGTTTGTTGTTAACGTCTGGAAGACGATCAAGAAGTTGGTCACAGATTAATTTTGGTTTAGTTTAAAGTTTTTCATGGTTGACTGAACAAAAACACCTTAAAGTTTTGTATAAATGTCTGTTCCCTCTTTGCGGAGCATCCCAAAACTGCTTTTCTTGTAAAACTGGTGGTTTTGGGTGGTTTTGCCGATCCAGTCTGACTTATCAGTAGTTTCTATGGTTGGTTCACAATAAAATCCCAGGAAACATAAACCACAGAGGAACAATCAGCAGACTGTCAACACATTCAATATGATTAGCCACTGACAGAACTGTGTTTGGGCAGCTAATGCAAATTTATTCCATAAGCCAAGTCATCAGATCATCTTCTCTATAGTAAAATTCAAGCTAAACTTGCATTGCTGAACATTTTTATTTATTCTGCACTCTGCCTTTCTAAAAGTGCACACTGAGAAATGAACCAAATCTACATCTATCTGACAGAGAAGCTCTCGGGGATAAAACAATCTGCAGCACTCTCTAGTGGCTACTGTTTGAACCAAAGGCCATGTATGAATTTGATTCACTTTTATTCTTAAATACATTCAGTTTTTCTGTAATGCCACACATATAAGTGATATTTTTTAAAGCACGAGTTTCATACTATAGTGTTCTGTAGAAACTGTAGGTACTTTGCATTAAAAAAACACAGCTTTTCTGATAGCAGATTATGTTTCAGTGTCTTTGCATGTGCACCTCTACTTCATATTTGTTTACTTTAATTTGTATTTTTGCCTAATATAGAACTAAGAGCTTCAATCTGAGATACTGTGATGCTTGGACATGTCTATTTGAACTGCTATAAGAAAGCCTAAATAGTTTTTATTTTTGTATATTTTTACATAACTGAATTAAGATTAATCAAATGAAAGCAGCTGCAGTCAAATCGCGATGGCTGGATGTCCGTGGCACCTTCGGAGCAGATAAACAGTGGCAGTGTTTGTGCTGTCAGGTTC